AACTCACCTTCCTGAAACTCGAGGATTTCTGAGAACCAGCTCGGAAAGCTTGGTGCGATTCATGCCCGAGATAACTCAGGGATGCAGGACCGGATGAATAGGCTCCATCATAGTGGTGATGCATCTTGTTGCTGCCATCGGCATCGTTATGATGGCGATGCTTGTGTTTGAGGCCCTCGGAGGAATATCCAGCGGCTAGACAGTCCCACCGACTCAGCTCCTTGGACGGGTTACCGGGAGAAGTATACCTCGGTTTAGTCCGGGGTGCGGGGGCCCGAGAAATAACTGGTGGGGGGAGCTCCGGGATGCAAGCCTGACAGCAGAGTGTCTCATCACCAGAAGGAGTAAAGATGCTTACCTTGGCAGTCCCGCTCCTCCATGGTGGTCTCGTATCTAGTTTGAGGAAGTTGTCCGACGGTCCGTTTCGTCCTGCCGATCTAGCGGTACGCGATTTCGGTCGGTCCTGCGATCCAATGGGCCGTTGAATATCCGGCGGCACGCAGGTCTCGTAAATCTGAGCCTAGCCGTACGGCGGCGCATAGATGCTGTCGACCTACGCTGGTCCTGACGTCCGATGGGAGGAGCTCTAGGTCGGCATTGAAGTGACGACTTGGCGGCTGATGTAAATGCCTCAATGCACGAGGAGGAGCTCCTCCTCTGCTCGGTGGGAGTACCTGAACTCTACTTACAGGGGAGGAGCAGGCCGCTGGAGCCGAGAGAGAGATGGACAAGACCGGATTCCGGCAGCACTTCTCTATTTCCCTGCTGCGTTGCGGCACCGTCGTAGTCCTTCTTCCTTCGAGGCTGCCTGCTTCCATCACCGTCTGCTCGCGCAGGTATCTTCCGTTGAAGTCCTCCCGACATGGCCGCATCTATAGTTTCCTCTTCCCCATTGACAGACATCGGCTGTGGCAAAGAGAGTAGCGGAGACTTCGAATCTGCCCAATACAGGACCATTTCGACATCATTATCAACAGCCCTAGCACCTGTTCTCTCTTCCCTCGGCGATAGACCTTCCGTTTCAGAACTGGGATGAGAGTCCCTCCCCTCAGCTGTGCTCCTATGGACAGCACCACTTATTACCCTACTGCTGCCGATTGCTTCTCTCGGCCCGATGGATGCCTCTCCTCGTCGGCTTGAGGACGTTTGAGGGGTACCCGAGCCGGAACTGGACTGTACGCTGGATCTCACAGTCGCCGGATTACTCCTGGTGGTACTGTTCGAGGAGGTGAGCTCGTCCAGTGCCGCTCTAGGGCCACTCATCGCCATTTGAAGCCTCTCAGACATGTTGCTGCTGCTTCTATCACTATTGTTGAGTCCGTCATCATTCGAGTTCAGAATCAACCTCACTATACTGCTGGCAGCCCATCTCTCCACCTTGCCATCAGCCCCCCTTCCCGACCCAGCATTACTCCTTCCAGCCCCATCCTGCCGTCTGCTACTGCCGACTGCATTTCTATTACCATTGCTCGATGCGACTCTGTCGATTCCCTCAGCTGCCGAATGAACCCTTATGTCCCATGTGTGACGCCTGTCGTCCGATTTCGACCCCCCGAGAGGTTCCCTACTTTTGTCACTGACGCCAGCTATGGCACCATCGTAAGAACTCCATTGAAGACTAGGTGGGAAAGTGTCGGCGGTGGTATTGGAAGCGGCCATTGTACTGGAGCCCCAGGCAGACTGAAGGCGGCTGTTGGTGGACATAGTGTTCGAGGAGAGGAAGGAGGCTTGCTGTGATAACGATGCCTGAAGATCCATATACGAGACTGAGGTGCTTCTCAAAGGCGAGAAACGAGAAAGAGAGCAACTCATCTCAAAGCCGAGGTTGAGCCTACCTGTGATGACGATCTAGAGTCCATGACAGGCCTACTCCCCCGTCTGACATACGACCGACTGGCCCGCACAAGTCCTGGAGCTCGACGCTGCACACACCACCATCGCTGCCGAGCAGAAGTAGTGTTGCTCACCTCGCGTCGGGAAGCTACCACTGAGGAGCTTCTGGAGGATGCCCATCGATGATGAATGGACTCGACTTCATCTACAACGAGTTACATGTTTGAGACTGACTTCATCAATGCCTACCATAGGCATCCCATGGATCCGATACTTCCTCAGTCGGTGACGGCAGTGTGGCGAGAGATGATGAGCCCTTCCCTTCCCGCTGAGAGTCTCCTCTGGTATCATCCTGATGATTCTGATTACGAAGAGATACTGTAAGGCAATTCCGTCGCACCTTGTTGGGGCCATCTTTTCCTCCTCTGGAAATGATCCTAGACAACAGGTCTGTGGCCGAGACCAGCTCCTGCTGATCTGTCGCCCTCACTTGTGGCTTGCCGCGTGGCTTATGTGGCATGGAAAGAAGTAGGTAAACTACACGGGGGCCAATTGGCGTAGCAACCGGGATGCGTGAGGGCGGTAGTGGAAGCAAATGATTTTGCGCTATTGCTGCATATTGCACGAATCCTGCTTCCAGCATCATCAGAGCATTTCGTGGGTGTAGTGTTTCGTAAATTGAATAATTTGAGCATTTATTCTTGAGCGATCTACGAAAATCGAACTTTCATCTCAAATTGGAACTTTTAATCCGGGAAAACTCTTTTCGTTCGATGGAAATCAAATTCCTTTTTTTTAGCTTGTTGTTTCATTTGCTGAATTTGAGAACAGAAAGGTGTAGATTTGATCCAATTGATGATCTCGCCAAGTTGGCGATGGCGACGCAGCTTCTGCTGTTCTTGGATTCTGCGAAAGCGTAGGGGTCCAGCCGACCTCTGCTACTCTGCTGACATCTGATTTATGCCACGCGATCCGCAATGTTGAAATGGACCCGGAACCACTCGAGAAAAGTACCTCAAGTATTCAGACGTAGTAGGTCTCTTGGTGGCTCTTGTGTGAGGATCAACAGTGTGCATAATTTGTCGAGTAGCATTACCATCTCATGATTGAAGGGTCAAGCAAGTCTACGATCCTCGACTAAGCTTGAGCATACTTCGGTCCTGATGTAGTTGATCAGCTTGAGCCAATACTAAAAAGTTCTCAACGGGGTAACTCGAAAGGTGAAATGAGTTAGTGCTACGCGGGAAGGGAGTCCCCTGCAGTGGCCCAATCCACACCGGGGCGTTGGATGCAGTATATGAAATCTACACTCACTTGATGGACGAATTACCTCTTATACTCGAAGCGCGGCCGGACCCGAATGTAGTTGATGTTGTTTTTCCTGCCATGTTCTCGGTTTCATCGTCAATGGTGGTGAACCTTATCGGATTTATGAAGTATTGCTGCATCACGAGTTAGCACTCGTGCGGATCCGAGTTGAAAGCAGCAGGACCGCTCTTGTAGACAAAGGCCTCAGGGAAGAAGCGCACGTCTGTGTATAATTTCATGGTCCATCAACTGACAACTGGGGAACAACTTGGCCACAGGGACTACGAGAGTGACAGTGTACTGTGAATTCGGCTATTTAGGGAAATGCGACGTTTCGGGCAAGGACCACTAGGGTGCAATGTTCGTGCAGAATCAGCATGCCATTTCCAGTACGCGCAACTTCGCAGAATGATAAGTCAGTTACACCCGGTGGAATTATCATACGAATATGCAGGGGGTCCGCGTAGTAATGGTGATTGTTGGCGGGACTTTTACGAAAGGGATGCGGTAGCACCGTTGAGAGGGTCATCCACTACTTGGCAACGCAACAAAGTAGACACGCAACGAACACGGAGCACCCATGGTTGGAGAGACAGAGTTGATT